CAGAGTCACGCACTGTCCCCGAACACACCGCAGAGTCACGTGCTGTCCCCGAACACACCACAGAGTCACGTACTGTCCCCGAACACACCGCAGAGTCACGTGTCCCCGTCACCCGAACACACCACAGAGTCACGTGCTGTCCCCGAACACACCACAGAGTCACGTACTGTCCCCGAACACACCACAGAGTCACGTACTGTCCCCGACACACCACAGAGTCACGTCCTGTCCCCGAACACACACACCACAGAGTCACGCACTGTCCCCGAACACACCACAGAGTCACGTACTGTCCCACGTCACGTACTGTCCCCGAACACACCACAGAGTCACGTACTGTCCCCGAACACACACAGAGTCACGTGTCCCGAACACACCCAGAGTCACGTTGTCCCCGAACACACCACAGAGTCACGTCAACTGTCACGTCCCGAAACACACCACAGAGTCACGTGCTGTCCCCGAACACACCACAGAGTCACGTTTCCCCAACACACCACAGAGTCACGTACTGTCCCTGAACACACCACAGAGTCACGTGCGTTTGTTTACATCCGCAGACACAGATCCAAACACTGAGATTATTTTCTTTTTACAATCAGTTTGAGTCTGGATTAAAAGGACATTTATTAGTTCAGACTTGTGATGTGGGAGGAGCCTGTGTGAGGCTGAGTGTTGGAAATATGTCGACTTTGAAGTTAGTTTTGGTTCGTTCTGATAGGTTATTGATTAGCTGCTGTAGCTTCCGCACATAAACAGGCTGTTTTCTATTGGTCTATTGTAAAGTGACTACATTGGCCGTATATTTGTTACTGGTTCAGCACTGATATGTAAATGAGCCTGGTGAGCCGGCCTGGAAACTGGGTATTCCAGAACTGAAATGATCCAAGTGATTCTAGTGAAGCTGTAACTGCTGTGAGTGAGTGAGGAGTAAATCTTCGCCCCCGCGTTCATTCGTTCATATTCTTTGTTGTTTTTGTGTTTTTCAGAGACGGTGGCGCTGTCCCTGAAGGCGCGTCCCCTCAGCCCGACGGCACCCTGCTGTTCGAGCGTCCCCTCAGCATGTCGGACGCCGGCATGTACCAGTGTGTGGCGGAGAACACCATCGGCGCGGGGAAGGCCGAGGTCAAGGTCAACATAATCGGTACGAGCTCACAAAGTACTGCAGTACTACACTTCTACTGCACTGTTTAAAGGTTGTATAGAAGATTTTCCAAGGAAAGAGAAACGCAGCGACTGTTTGCCCTTTTTTAAATGTTGTGCTTTGCTCCTTTTCCCCTTCTCTTCTTCTTCCCGCAACATCAAAACCTGACTTTCTTTTGCGGCGAACTGGTCGTGGATTCTCGTCGGCCATTACGACAAACTTTGTGCAAACTGAGAGGAAGCTACAGTTCGAAAAAGACGGCAAGAACCGCTGCGCTGGTTGAGTAAATGGCATCAGTGCGTGAGAGGCGAACGTAAACCACGTAATCCCCAGCGCGCCGGCGAGTCGTTGACGCTAGAAACGTAGGGAGTTTGATTGACAACCTAACAGCCAATAGAAAATGAGGCAGCCTTGTTATCTATTGGCTGATGTTTATCTACCCCGACCATGTCCACAGTTGATGGACTTTCATTCTTTTTTTTTTTTTTTTTTTTTTTGGTCATCATAATTACAAGGCTGCTGCGTCTCTATAATTCTATTTTGAACTTTCATTGACAATTTGAAACAAACAAAAAATCCTCCATACAACCTTTAAAGAGACTGACTGGGCTTGTGTACTGTATTTTAGTTTTAGGAAGTAAGTGAGTAAAGTTTATTTATACAGTCGTCCCTCGCTTTCGCAGATTTTTTTCAGTGCAGCGTATGAAAGCGCATTGTGTTCCTCCCCCTGCGTCCTGATTGGCTGTAGACCACTGTCAATCAATCTCCCCCGTGCCGTGTCTCCTGTACAGTACAGAATGTGTTCAGACAAATTTACATAAATGTTCGATCTGTATCAGTGTCGGGGAGTAACAGATTACATGTACCGGAGTTATGTAATCAGAGTACAAATGATGAGTAACTGTATTCAGTTACAGTTACTGTTTCAGTGAGTGGTAATTGGATTACAGTTACTTTGTTGGAATAAATGGATTTTCCTGTTTTCACATTTTGGGCTATTTTCCGTTTTTTGTCCTTCCCCCCCCCGTAATTCCACTCATTGCCGGAAACTAAACCAGGTCTAAAACCAGGTCTAAACCAGGACTAAACTAAAACCAGGTCTAAACCAGGGACTAAACCAGGTCTAAACCAGGACTAAACCAGGTCTAAATCAGATCTAAACTAGGTCTAAACTAAACCAGGACTAAACTAAACAGGTCTAAACCAGGACTAAACCAGGACTAAACCAGGACTAAACCAGGACAGGACTAAACCAGGAGTAAACCAGGTCTAAACCAGGACTAAACCAGGAAACCAGGTCTAAACCAGGTCTAAACCAGGAGTAAACCAGGTCTAAACCAAACCAGGTAAACCAGG